CTTCATCAGAGGTAACATGAATGCGCAGCGTTATATCCACGAAGTTCTAGAACCCCATCTTTTACCCTATCTTGACACCCTGGCAGCTCCAACTTTCCAACAAGATAATGCCCGACCACATGTTGCAAGAGTCACAATAGACATCTTTCAACATAATGATGTCACATTGTTACCATGGCCACCAAGATCTCCCGACTTATCCCCAATTGAGCACGTGTGGGATATGATGGGTAGGAGATTGCTCAATTTGCAACGTCCTCCTCAGACTCTAGAAGCACTTCGAGAGGAGTTGGTGGTTGCCTGGAATGAGATACCACAGGAGGACATTGACCACCTGATCAGAAGCATGCCTAGGCGCGTTGGAGAATGCGTAGCACATCAGGGTGCATCCACACATTATTAAAGGTCAAAGGGCTTTAAAGCAGTATAATCATTTTGAAATTTTTATCGTTTACTTATTATGCTTCATTAAGTACTTATACAAAATTTTATTAAAATAAAACCATTTAAACTGGGTGTTCGGATTTATATGTCACTTAGTATATATATATATATATACAGGGTGGCGCATCGAAAACGAAACAGTCGCATTTACGGGCAGCCTGGTTTTTTTTTTGGAAAAACGCTCAGACCCGTCGATTTTGTTTTCGAAGGGGACACAAGTTTGGCAAAAAATCATTTTAACACGTGCAGCCCCCTGGGCGGGGGTGACACCAACCCTAAAATCTTAAATGGAAAGGGGGGTCGAGTGATACATTATTTTAAAGGTCTTTCAATTCCCTTTACAATGATATAAAATACATGAGCTTCAGTTCAGCAGTCTTGAAGACTTATTGATTTAAAGCTTAAATTAAAGCTTAAATTAGACTTTAATAGGTACATCAGATTAGTTTGTACTGCTTTCAGAAGAAATTCGACTAAAAGAATTTACTTAATAACTAAATCCCTTTCTTCGCTACGTCCATGGTTTGTTGATCATTTTGTTGTTGAAAATAGCTATTGGAGCGTTTTTTTATGGCAAACAGTTATTTCTTGAAGAAAGATAAGGAAATATGTTGTACTTATTTTAAATAGGAATTTAGTACATTGTTCGCGATTGATTTGAGATTTGACCAAACTTTGTTGCTCTAATAACTTGTAACGCTTTATCACATAAATTAACCATGGTATATTCCATAGCAGAAAGAGATGAAATTATCGAAATATTTTTCGGAAATAATCAATGCGCTAATAGAACAGCAGAAATATTTAATGAGCGACATGAGAACAGTAACGTGCATCGAAAACATGTTCTAGAACTTGGAGACTGTGTGTGGTGTTAGTCGACTTACTGCCCAACGGATTCCAAAGGCCCATAGTTTTCGTCCGTATAAAATTCACACGGTACAAGAACTTAATGAAGACGATTTTGATGGTCGATTACAATTTTGTGAAGATATGAGTGAACGAATTATAAACGATGAACATTTTCTATTCAACACTTGCTTTTCCGATGAATTTTCCTTTTTCTTAAATGGCGTAGTAAATCGTCATAACTGCCGATATTGGTCCGATTCTAATCCCAGAATTTATCATGAGGTTCATACACAGCAGCCACAAAAATTAAATCTTTGGGCTGGTATTTTTGGTGATCATTTAGTTGGTCCTTTTTTCTTACCTGGAAATTTGACCGGTGCAATGTATTTGGAATTACTGGAAGACGCCATAGATCCTCCATTAACAGCCATAATTGAAAATCAGAATGATCGGCGGTACATTGCGAATAGGTTGATGTTCCAACAGGATGGTGCCCCACCACATTACGCATTATGTGTTCGACAATATCTAGATCAGACGTTTCCAGATCGATGGATTGGTAGAAGAGGTGCCATTGAATGGCCCCCAAGATCGCCAGGTTTATCTCATGGATTTCTTTATGTGGAGTCATTTAAAAAGCAAAACCTATGCTACTCAGCCAACATCATTAGAATACCTGCGACAAGGAATTAATTGTGAATGAGTGCCTTCAAATCACCCCTCAAATATTGCAAAATGTGCAGCAACGTTTTGAGCAAAATCTTTTTCATTGCATGGAGAGTCGTGGTGGCCATTTTCAACATTTACTTGCCTAACGGGTCTGTTCATTCTTCATTTTTGAATTACTTTGCTGCCAAGATCTCCACTAATGATGATGTATTAGTTTCATTTAAGCTTTAAATCAATAAATCTTCAAAACTACTGAACTGAGGTATATTAATTTTATATCATTATAAAGGGAATTGAAAGACCTTTAAAACAAGGTATCACTCGACCCTCCTTTCCATTTAAGATTTTGGGGGTGGTTTCACCCCGCATAGGGGGCTGCACGTGCTAACGTTATTTTTTGCCAAACTTGTGTCCCCCTCGAAAACAAAATCGACGGGTCTGAGCGTTCTTCCAAAAAAAAACTGAGCTGCCAGTAAATGCGTCTGTTTCGAACATAACCAATACATAGCCAGTTCTCAAAAGCTCACTTACAAAAATATATTCTGGCTTTGAGTCCAGTAATTTAACAAGGTTCTGACGGTTTGGAATGTTACTCGGAATAGGTTTAAAATAAGTACGAAATATAAGATCGGGGTTAATGCGTTGACCGACGGCGGTGTATAAAGCAATGCTTGTGTCTCTCTCCAAATACTTCGAAATGAACTTCACTTTATGCTCTTAATATACCAATTGCAATAAATTCGTGTAAAAGTTTCGGCCGTGGTGACACGGTTTTTCTGACATGTGCGACATACATATTCTCCAGCAAATCATTTAATTTCGATTTTCTTGCCGTGTCTCGACCAATTTTACGTGTCGCGAATACATTAGCCGTGGAGACAGAAAGTAGAAAAAATGCATATCATTTGGCTTATTAGTAAACCTCAAGAATTTTCTCCGGTGAAATACTTTGCCTTTCTGCTAATGTAATCTTGAAGATCATCATCGAAGAATCTTAAGCCTTAGTTTAATTTAACTTCGGCAGTGAACTCACCATACTCGACTAAATGTCTACCATTCAATAGCAATAATCACAGCCTTTGATCAAGAAGCTGTGCAGTTTATAATAGTATAGTCGAATGTAGTGTCGCGATTTTAATTATTGTGGAAAGACATCTTGTGAAAACCAAAACATGCCAGTATGCAACAGATGATACCTGCGGTACAGGAGTATTTTGCAGCAGGGAAGCTATTGAAATGCTGGAGCTACGTCTGGGCAATAGCCTCGATGCAAGAAGGTGAAAACAGTGACAAATGCAACCAGAAATAATTATCAGCTCTGAGTTTTCCATTTGACCATACCCGCTTGTTTGCTTTCCGTTTGCTTCTCTCCACGCGACTAAACCTATACCGTACTGATTTTTGCTAAAAAGCATGAAACAATGTTGTATGCGGTTGGTGTGTTATATTATATTTTTCAGGATATGTTTTTAAATGGACCTATTACTCAGCGTATGTATATTTCCATATTTCTACTATTGTTTTAGAAGATAAACCTACACGGATGCTATCAGCCATTTTCTTTGGAAAGTGCGTCGTCACTCGGTGACAAAACTCGTCAGAAACGTACAGTTTTATATGGCGCTTTAGCGGGTAAATTGTTTCGTTAGTTTGTTATCTGCAGTCAGGTCTGTTTGAAATATCATTAAAAAAACATTGCGCAGTGGTGGGTTGTTCAAGCAACAACAAGAAAGGGAAAAACGTTTCAAATTGGCGGTACTTCAGTTTTCTAAAGAAAAAACAAGTTTGAGAACAATGGATTTTGAAATGTTATCAGTATCACTAATCTAGTGCACAAACCGCAAGGACCTCAGGATTTTGTGGAAAGTCACTACAGTTTAATAGAAAAAACTTTGGGTCTACTTCAAAATAGATGAAACTTGAAAACTAATGTAGCACCTCCTCTTCACTTGATGAAATCGCCAAAGGCGCAGACTTCTTGCAGTCATTAAAATTAAGCCAAAATTATTTTAAATGGTTAAGGGATTTAGCCAAGCCATTTTTGCATGAGTGCAGATGCCAAGCATCATTTTTTAGATGTAAAATGTAATTTAAAATCCAGATGTCAGATAGAATTGGGAAGAGAAGAATGATGAAAATTGTAAAATGAACTCAATAAAACTGTTCACCAATACAAAAATACTTTTATTAACACCTACCTATAAAAAAGATTAGGTATATTCAAGGACAAAATCGGCAGACAAAAAAAAGTATATCTTTCTATTGCCCGCGCACACAATGGAGGGATTTCTTAAACAAATAATAACAAATAGGAAAAAACATGGTTTTTCTGTACAGACTACAAGTATACACAATTTCTATAAATATAAAAAGCAAGTGAAAACTAAACTTCTAAAACAAAAAAATTTTTAGTATTTTTACAAAAACAAAATATAAATATATGTAACAGGAACAACTTGAAAAACCATTACGACAGGTGTGATTCAAAATCCGGTCAGTTCTTCTTTTTGTTTGTATCATCAGCAGCGGTGGCCGCAGTAGTAGACTCTTCGGTCTCCTGATCAGTCGCCGTGCGCTGTGCGGGTTCGAATCTTGTCCCAGGAGAAATTTTTATCTTGGCTATGGGTGTTGTGATTGTCCGTAGGTGGTAGACGGTCTCTGACTGTCGAACGCATAGGTACCACCCGGCGGATCTCGTAGGCGGGGCCAGAATGTGTGCATGTTGCATGCACACGTGTTCCCTCGCCAGAGTCCGTTTGGCGTTCCCCCTTTCCCCTGTATCCCCCTATAGTCCCACGGTACCACATGGGTGTTTATGCCTTAGGACTTCGTGGTGGTCGGAGTATAAAGAATACAATAGACGAAAAGACTGATTATACCCAGATACCAAAAAGGAAGAGAGAAGCATACCTTACCGTATATTTTGATATACTTTGCCGTTTCGCTACCAGACCATTTCTCAGCCATTCAACGAACCTAAAAAAATATTGTAATCCCAAAAATTGTAAGTGAACTGCTGCTAAGAAATGATTTACGTAAAGAATTGAGCTGACTGGTTTTGGCACCAAACCGTTCTATTGAAATAACAAAATGAAAGACCATGCTGTCAGTGACATTGAAATTGTAATAATTTTCTTCGTTTATGACTCCGTGAGCTTGGAACATTACCACCTAAAACTTTAATTCAATATTTAATTCAAAACCGACGAGCTTTGGTTTCCTTGTTGCTTATCTAGGATTGCGGCAATGATTTACCCAGAACTTCATACATCCCGCGTATGCCGACTGTATTAAGTTTACGCATATGCATGATTGGTATGGGACAAGAGGTTTCATTTCGGTAGAAATACCGAGAAATCAGTAGGTTTGGCAACACTACACAACATTTTATACAGAATAGAGGTGTCGTATATACTGTACCCTGTTCTCCATCCTTTTTCTGCCTAAAAAGTTACTATAACAAACTAATATATATACAATATATAATAATATATATATAACAACAAGTAGGAAAATAATGGGCAAAATCCGCAAAAAGGAGGAAAGTGAATTCGAGCAGAAAATATGATAGGTAACCCGAGCGATACGTATTTCTGCTGGTTGGCTTCATCAGGCCCGAAATGAATGCACATATGAAACTACAAAAGTAGATACATATGCCCACACATCCGGATACTGGTGTAACCTGAGGAAACGAAGTTGGAGGGGAAAAAAACGACAGACGAAGTCCACAACAAGATCCAACCTACACATTGTAGTATAAAATGGCTATACGACCTCGAATTTTCAAGAAGACGTCTAACCACCACCACGCGGCCGGTTATAGCCACTTGCTGTGGTACTTCAAGCCCAAAGGATCTACAAAGAGAATATGATCATGCGGAGAAAAGTATATAACAACAAGTAGGAAAATAATGGGCAAAATCCGCAAAAAGGATTAAAGTGGATTCGAGCAGAAAACAGGATAGGTAACCCCTCCAACTTCGTTTCCTCAGGTTACACCCGTATCCGGATGTGTGGGTATGTGTATCTACTTTTGTAGTTTCATATGTGTATTCATTTCGGGCCTGATGAAGCCAACCAGCAGAAATACGTATCGCTCGGGTTACCTATCCTATTTTCTGCTCGAATCCACTTTCCTCCTTTTTGCGGATTTTGCCCATTATTTTCCTACTTGTTGTTATATACTTTTCTCCGCATGATCATATTCTCTTTATATATATATATATAGATTTTAGCTATGTCCGGTGCCTTTCTGATGCACCGAATAAACGAAACATCACCCAAGATATCGCTGTTTTCATTCGGTCATCTAAGTGAAGTCCACACTTTATTCAAATGTGACAAATATCACAAAAGTGGCCACGATGATATTTCGACTGTAAACCCGCGAGCAACGCATAAATTAAATAAAAAAGTCTGGACAGGAAGTGGAATCGTGGCGGAAGTCGAGCACTTACGCGAACTCACGTTTCGAACTGGACGGTGATCAAGGCGCGTCTTCAGAATTATTTTGTTGTCAATGGCATCAGCGCATATATAAGCAGTGAGAAAATGCGTGCAATTTTGCTAGTCATGCTAGATGACTTGGCGAGAACAGAAAATCTACAACAACTTGCTAGCCGTGCTGGATCAGCTCTTCAAGCCTCTTAGCGACAAGGTTCAAGCTCTATGATGAGAAGAAAAAATACAGCGAGACCAGAAATAAAGGGGCAGTCAGGTTTAGAGATCTGGCAATGGGATGCGATTTCGGTCAAGGTTACACAGACGAAGAGCAACATGTTTCAGTGCATCAACAGCATTAATGTAAGAACGAGTTGAGAAGAATAATAAAAAAATTAAACTAAACGTAGGTTGGTTTAGAAATTACTGCCCGTTGAAGCTGTAAATGCGGTCTCCTTGAGAGGTTGAGATATCAGATCTCTTTGGTTCTGAAGACGTTAATGAGATGAGGCCTAGGAGAGCGGGTCTGTAGGCCTAAAGCTGCGACTAAACTATGCACCGGTAGCTTGTGGTGGATTCATTCATTCAAATAAATATATTTTATTTGAAAGCCAAATTTCAGGGTATTTCTTTGACCGGGGTCATAGCTCGTACCTACCAAGCGCAGCGACCAAGCAGGAGTCATATGCATCATATCTCCTCAGATTTTAGAATATTTCGTTGATCTAGGTTCAGATATAGTCGAGCACATGAACAGAGCGCCAGGTATGTCAATCCCGCGCTTCCCGCGTAACGCTGTCATCGGTTCGTAAAGGATTATGTTCGGCTCAAGTTAGTCCTTCTGAGAAACAAGTGGATAACGAACACGTATAACAAAAAAATTGAATGAATTAAATCAGCCAAACAGGCCTATACAATTAGTCCATAGTCCCCAATTATTTGATAGCGAGACGACCTAGAAATTTCCTCCCTGCCCTACTGGCAGTCACCACCATCTGGCAACCTTGCTGAACCACACCAATCAGTCGTGTCATTAAGCTAGACTCAGCGGTAAGCGGCCAGGTGAAGACAGAATTTTATGCACCTAGGCATACGTTCGTAGCGTTGCCTTTAAAAATATTTCTCTAAATTTCAAGGGCAAATGTAAGTGAAAATCTATGACGTGAGAATTATGTATTATTAGGAGCATGGAATTACTGAGTCTGGAAGCGTCCACAAAATTAAGCATGTCTTCCTACATCTCTAAAACTCCAGCCCCCAAATTTTAGCCGCTACAAAAATTTTTATGAATCTAATCGCCAGCCGCTGAAACACTAAAAACGAGGTTTAAGCGATTTTCAAATCTTTTGTCTTTTCCCTTTTGCTCCACGGCCGTTGTGTTGATCTTCAAAACTCACAAGGCTTCTATGCCCTTGACGTGGTAGTGAATATTACATCAAAATCCGAGCAATACTTTTTATGGTACATAATGGGTCAAGGATTAACGGACAAACAAACAGACAAAACTACACAGGCAGATGGGAAAAGTGACATGCACATGCCTTGTTACATCTAGATAACGCAATATCTCATTTTCTTAACTTTTGCAATTACAATACCTCCTCGCCGGTGGCGTGGGAAATGGGGATGTTTCTACTATAGTTCCACAGATTTCCGAGTACCTCAACTTCCTCGGTCCGGGTTGTACCAGCAGAACACAAAGAGAATAAAAAAAATGGCGTCAAGTTAGATGACTCTATACTTCTCACGTTACGCTGCCATTAGATCATAGAGAGTTGTTTGGCACAGAAAAGTTAGCTACGAGAACGTATAACGAAGATTTAAATGACCTTCCTCCTCCCTCTGAGAGCAATTGCTGCAGGCGCACATGATCGTTGGAATGAGCAAGCGATTGCCGTATAAATTAGTGTAAATATACTAAAGTCACAAAATTGAAGTATACCCTCCCCAACCCCCGCAATCCCTAACCCCCAAATTTTAAACATTAAAAAAATTTCTCCAAAAATGATCTGGATAGTCTGAAAGATGAATGAACGAAGTTTGAAATGTTCATTTTTCTTTATTTTTGACCCTTTTCTTCGCCGCCACTGGTCTGATATTCAAAAACTGAAATCCAGGTGGTAATTATCAAGTTGTAGGTGCTTATAACATTAGAGAACAGACCGACAGACAGACAGATCGACGGAAATTATTGACACAGATCTTCATGATGTACATGTCATATCGCATTAAAATAGAATAATCTCACTTTCGAAAGTTACAGTACTTCCCAGCCACAGAATCGATTTTCAAGAATCTACAAAGGTTTTTGTCCTTGGCATAGTAGTGACCTTGCATGAAACATTCATCCAAATCCCAGTGGTACTTAGTATTAGTGGATAGACAGATGATCGGAAATCATATTATATACAGGGTGACTTCGAAGTTGAGTCATTTATTTCAACAGTGAGTGAGTAGATCTGATCAAAAGAAATGTTTTTTTCCTTTACCATTTTTCTGGTAAAATTAAAGTAACAAAGTTATAGCCCTTTGGAAGTTTGAGTACCGCCCTGTCTCAATAATAATATTATGTGCTCGTGTTTGGCGACAACGGATATAATCCGCCTTATCGGTTCATCGCATCGGAAACAAAAAAAGCTAAAGAATTTGGAACGATGTTTTTACAATTATTTCATTCAGTTGTATACAGTCAGTGTGAGTCGGTAGTGAATAGTGGTGTCTGTTGCGTGGCTCAAACGAAATAAAAAATGGCACATGTTTATGCGGATCGGTTTCCCAATCGAGTGCAACCAACCCCTCGTGCCTTTGTTAATGTGGTACAACGGGTTCGTGAATCATTTGACTTAAGACCTCACATATGGACGGCATGCCGGTGCTCCAAGACCTCACGATCAAATACAGGTCCGCACTGAAATACTTGTCGGGAGGATACTTTATAAAACAAGGTAAATTTTTTTTTTATTTTTACACACATATTTTGGTTTATCTTCCTTCTACAATCATTATCTGAAAATTAAGGACTCAACTTCAAAGTCATATTATATTATCTCACTTTCGAAATTTTTGACGAAAACCGAAATTTTCGCAATACATTCCCCAGATTTCTGGGCACTTAGCCCAGGTCGGACCTGCCGAATACAGTGACAGGTGCGTCGGATACCGGCGTACCGACGGCGGGCGTCCGCGTCGCATCAGGTACCACCTTGACGTGGGGGTACCGCTACCTAGTTCGTCCCACTGACCCAGATCGTACCGCTCTGCCGTCGCATCACGCGCGGAATGGTCGGTGTCTCTTCGACAGTGCTGCCGCAAACGCCGCGCGGTACGACTTGCCCATCGCCGCCGTACTGCCATAACGCACGCACCAAGGAAAATCATGTCATGACAGTTGAATGACGCGCGAGTGACGTTTTCGGTTGTTTTTTTTTCAATTTATTGGTGTTGGACATAGCGATGGTCGCGATGAGGTACCACCGACTGCTAGTGAGTTTGTGCCTTATTTGGGATTTTTCTGCAATCGTGCTTGCGGGAGCTGTGAGAAGTAGTAGTAACCGAGGTAGGTTTTCCGACAGCCAGGCTTCAAAAGAAGAATTCATTTGTAAATGCTGTCCGATAACGGAACTAGAGGAAATGCTGTTCAAGTGCGGAAAACAGGTCTCCAAATGTACAATTTCCGGTTTTGGGAAAGACGGTAGAAAGAACATCGATGGGATTCGAACCCATAACTCAGAAAACTGTTAGTTTAGATGCACCTATGCTCGTTTGGCTAGGAATGCAAGAGATGTCGCCATAGCGTTCCGGTGGAGAAGGGCTCTAAGCAAATAATTTTTTCGCCCAATTATTTTCACAACTTAACGATTGAATGTTTATAAGATTCATTACTTTGCCGTTTTATTTCCCGTGGATTTCAACAACAAATAGAAAAAAACATCAAATATCACAAGTCAACCCTAATTTCAAGCTTATATTAGTACATTTTGAAAAAAGTACGACATGTACGCCAAGATGAAAGATATTTATGTTTTCAACTCGAGTTTCGCACTTAGCATCTCAAATCCACTAGAATCGAATAAAAAAGAAACATGTCAAGTGATTTAAAGATGAAACCATTCGATTAGAGCGTTTGATATAAATTCGACCAGATTTTACTTCGGCATACGAATAAAATGTATCCGAATTGAGCAAAATATCAGTTCAATTTATCTTGTCTGTTAGATCTATAAGGACAGACTCTGACCGATGAAAATCGAGCAAAAGGCATGTTTTAATAGAACAACATATGCAGAACAATTTCATGTTTCACTTACTTCTACAAAGTCGGCCAAAAGGTGACTACATATGTATTTCAAGAAATTTAAAAGAAGGAGATTCTTCCCTTAAGAAGCATGATACAAGGGATGTCTTTTAAGTTTTGCATATAGAAACATAGTAGGCCCCGCGGTTCGAACATCAGTACTGAACCTTAACCTCACTCTTTAGTAAACTTAAATTCGAAGTTTCACAGCAATACGAGCAGCTGTGAATTTTTAAGTGTGATCAAGTCATTAGAAAAATGGAACTCAACCGAGAACATTTTCGCGCCATAATTTATTACAACTTTCAGAGACAATTATCGCAACAAGAATCCCTTGCTGAGTTTCTGTCTGTTTTCGAAAATGACGCGCAACATCAGTCGGCAATTTAGGGTTGGTATGAAGAATTCAAACGTGGACGGGTGAGTCTTAGCGACGATCCCAGGGTGGGTGCACCAAAGACGGTAGTCACACAGGAAAACGTCGATGCTGTGCGCAAACTCATCATTGAAAATAGACATGTGACATATCGCGAGATTGAGGCTTCCTTGAAGATCTCAAAGACCTCAATTCAAAAAATTTTACATGAAGAATCAGGAGTAAGAAAATTAGTTTCTCGTTGTTGACTGAAGAGCAGAAAGCAGCCAGGGTTAATTGGTGTCAAAAAACGCTTGACCGTTTCAATTCCGGAAACTCAAAAAATGTGGTGGTGAATCGTGGATTTACTGTTATGTACCAGAAAATAAACGACAGTCGGCTGTTTGGGTGTTCCAAGGTGAAGAAAAGCCAACAAAAGTCATTCGTTCTCGAAGTGTTTCGAAAAAGATGGTCGCGACATTTGTGTCAAAAGCCGGTCATATTGCAACAATTCCTCTTAATGAGTAAATAACTGTTACTGCGGATTGGTATACCACCATTTGTTTGCCAGAAGTCATCACCAGCATCGAAAAATCAACCCCGAAAGAAGAATCATCCTCCACCAAGAGAATGCAAGCTCGCACACAGCCCAAAAAACAAGGCAGTATTTAACGGATGAAAACGTGGAATTATTGGACCATCCTCCATATAGTCCCTATCTAAGTCCTAACGATTTCTTTACTTTCCCGAAAATTAAAAACAAACTGCGTGGTCAAAGGTTCCAGTCACCAGCAGAAGCAGTTGACGCATTCAAAAATGCCGTTTTGGATCTGCCAGCAAACGAGAGGAATAAGTGCTTCGAAAACTGGTTAGAGCGCATGCAGATGTGTATTAATCTTTGTGGAGAATACTTCGAAAAACAATAAAGTCATTTAAACCTATTTATTTCCATATGCAAAACTTAAAAGACATCCCTCGTAGGGACATAAGCCGGATCAGTATAATTTAAGGTATAGCTGAGTTCCTCAGTTAAAGCGTTCCATACATATTTTCCACTTGTCCTTGTGTCGAAATTCATCGTTGACTACCCAGTTTTGGAATCAGTTTTAAATGATGAATCGCTGAGACAGGGTTAGCTTAAAAAAATTATGATATTTGTGAAATCATTAAAACAGAAAAATCTCAATCACCCATGTATTGCAATGAATATAAAAAGTTTGTTCAACCAGTCTATGAATATTTTGAAAGGTGATTTTGTCAAATATTTCATTTTTAAATTTAAAATCAAAAAGATATTGTTACATTGTCCTAGAAGGTGCAAGTTCGTATGTGCTTTCCAGCACAGTTTCAAAAATGATATACATATTCGAAACAATCACCGTGCTTTCTCCACCGCAATTGCTCTGTATATTATGGTCAGCCGAAAAAGCAATTTAACTTTGAACCTTAAATCAAATACAAGTCTGACCTAGTTCCCAACTCCTAAGATTTACCAAATTTAGTTAGTGGTCATAATAAGCTGCACTGATATGTGCATTGAATTTGTATAATTTTCAATTACCATTACGTTCGGAAACAGGGTTATAAAAACTTTTAACAATGGATTACTGATGTTCTATTCGAAGAGGGGCTTTTTGTAATCAGGCAACACGGAACCGTCGAAGTTTCACTTCACTCAATCAAATCTGCAGTGAAACTAATCATCATTATCATTTTACTTTAATGAGTAAAGGTACGTTTCGATTACAACAAATTTGCCGCAACGTGTGCCGGTATTTATATACCATAGATAGATCCAGGTACTGTACATGTTGCCCCGAAAAAATTGTTTCATGTGACTGCCGCGCGCAACATGCGTCGTAGCACGTTCTGCAACATGTTGCAAACTATAGCCGCCATTAATAAACTGAGTGACAAACAAAACATCTACGTATGTTTATTCGAATTCAAGAATTTTTTACATATTGATTTATCCTGCAATGAACAAGTGATAAGATAGTAAGGTTCTTCTGTTAAGTTTTTGTGGCGGCTGCATGGAGCGTTTCATGATACAGAAGCATTCAGTTTCCGTACATTTGCAGTGTTAGTTAAATGTTAAATCTCGTGTAGGTTATTGAGAAGCCTTTTTGAGACCGGGAATGGAATCAGGTGGTGTTTAGTGACGAATCCCGCTTTTGTCTGGGGATGTACGCAGCTCTTACCCACGAAGTTGCAGTAGCCTGGAATGCGCCTGCCACATGTACCTGCAACTTGTTGAAGTTGAAACGTACCTTAAGCGTATCGAGGACGTATTGATGTCACATTTTTTCAATTCATTATAGGTGGATTCTTTAATTCACCGGTTAATTCCACCACTGATGCTTATGGTTGACACTGTTGACAGCTTTGTATGGTGATGGCAGCAACCGGTTGAATTAAAAGGACAGATGTCTGGTCCACCGGTGGCACCGGTTGCTCAACCGGTGAATTAAAAAATACACCAATTGATTTTGGATTTTCCTCTTTCTGTCTTTGTCTATTGAACGTTTTGATTCGCCTATGCTTGTATGTTTTCCTATATTCTTTTCAAACATGAGGTCGTCGTTGTAATGTTTCATATTATTTCTAGTACTGTAAATACCTAACAGAAGCTTGAGCTTGGTCATATACGCAGAGAACTAAAACAAGAAACATCATTTTCGGGTTCCGTTGCTCGGTTTCATACAGACCTTGGAACAAAGTAAAGATGAAATGTTTCCTTTCCGCCTGTGAGATAATGACCAACCATATACAGCGCCGTTTCATACTCATTAGCGACTCATCAGTGAGGTATAGGTCTAGTATTGAAGACAGGTGAACGAGAAGCAAACGTAGTGGTCATCTTTAAAAAAAAGATATTTTGCGCAACTGGTGAAAAATCGGATGATCGCCGCCTACCAAGCTGATTATCATCTTTAGATGTCAGTCCCCTGCGTCTCTAGCTCATAGCTCCTATACGTTCTGCGCTATACCCAGATAAATGTCGCTCCACCATTACGTCGATTCGTCAAGAGGTCGGAATACTAAGTACTCACAAGTAAATCAGCATTGACATTCTATAAGCCATCTCCATCATAGGGGATGAGGATGACGATCAGCTGGCCAAATCATAGGTGGTGATGGGCAGCTACTTGCGCACAATGATTAGACTAAAGAAGGTGTATGGGTAAACATCAATCATAGAATCCTTGTAATAATGGGTCATCATGAGAGAGAATTAAGGTTTTTTGTGAACTGGCAACCACTGAACTCATCGCCTGTGTCACAATGGTAGTTATTTCATTTCTTTGATGATCATCTCGAGAATGCTAAAGTCTCGTCATAAAATGAGAGCCACTGTACGATAACTCATATGTATAATGGACTTCCATAGTCTTGATAAGGACGCCATATATTCAGGAGTCATCCGCAGTTTCGAGCGTCCCCTTTGTGCTATACCCAATCCACATTTTCGGTAGCTTGTACGTTATTAACTTTCGTGTAATATCACGTTTGTATAACACTAGCCCTTAATTTAGGAAAATTATAGCGTGATCTGCTTCAACTCCTATATTAATTTTGAGCAAATGAAATTAACACGTGTCCCATGTTATAAATACTAATTATCGTCGGAACTTTTAGCTGCCCTTATTAAGTTTTCCTCAGCTACACAATTACTTAGTAACTAAGACTGAATATAACAAGATAACCTAATTTCCTCTAACGAGACAGGTTTCTTTACTCAAGTAGCCACGAAGACAGTCCTTGAATACTAATAATCACGACTGGTAGAAAAGGTTGAAGATATCTTGTTTACTAGATTTTTGAACAAATAAGCAAGTAACTTTTCTGTTTATCTAAATAACATGCAGGAATTCAGGGCGACAAGTAATCTCTGAAGCTGGAAAGAAGAAGACCAGCCGCGACTTCCTCTCTGATGAGATACCTGGAGGTTATCCCTGCTTGGGGTGCAACGATATTGTCCAGTATAATGCTACCAAAACACAGTACTGTACCTTGACGGACAAAAAGCAGCTTCTGTCAAAAATCTAGGTTATTTGTTTAGAAGAAATACTTTTCTCCGCATGACCTCCTCACTCTAAACAAGGCCCAGATAAAACCTAGCCTCGAGTATTGCTCACATGTTTAGGGTGCTGCAGCTCTGACTACATTATTTTTGCTCGATGCTGCCCAGAGTAGGGCTATCCGACTGCTCGATCACTCTTCTCTAACAGACAGTCTCGGGAGCCTGGCGACAGAAATCTAGCTCTGCTCTACCGCTACATCAACGGACTTTGCTCCTCAGAACTCTCCTTCATGATGCCGCCGCGCGTTGTGCGTACCAGGCAGACCTGCCTGACTTCAGCTGCCCATCCTAACCGTTTAGAACCTCGAATATCCAGAAATGGCAGATACGACTGCTCCTTTGTCCCGAGGGTGTCGAGATTGTGAAACAATCTGCTAGAGGAAACTTTTCCCAGTTCTATGTACCTAAGGCAGTTCAAAAATCGGATTAAAAAAATTTCTTTGTGATCCTCATAGCAGCCGCGGCTGCTTCGGTATAAAAATAAAATTCAGGTTGTGAAAACTAAGGTCTAAACTTTCTGCTTAAACGTTGCACGCAGTTTTTGAGTTTGAGTGCATTGCAACTCCGTTATACATAAGAATTAATTATTTATTACAAGCTGTTAACCGCGTCTTCGAACGCTTAAAATGATTAATTAAAATTTTGAAAATAACACATTGGATTTAACCAAATTTAACACTGTAGAAACATCGATCTGCCTAGTCTTCAGTTAGAAAACGTGAATATACAGGGTGTTAGGTGAATAATACTCATAACTTTAAGAGGTGATTCCTTGTATTATTCTAAGAAAAAAAGGTTCATTATAGCCTATGTCCGAAAATAAACAGTTTAGGAACAAAAAAAAATGCTGAAATTATTTCTTTTCGTTCATGAAATAAATTAATTATGCACCTTAATAATTTAAATTTATCTGCCTAATAGCATAAAATATATCAATACACCTATTTATTGATTAACTGTCTCTAACAAAATAATTTTCTAGCTTATTAAATCCAATTTTCCGAAGAAAACCAGACAAACAAAATCCCTCGCACAACTGGCAACGTCGTACTCGGCCTGCACTGCATGTACCGTCACGTGTTGTTGTGATTACTAATAACTGCAACTTTATGCGATTGACGGATGTTGTTTTTTTTTTATTTTTCCGTGCGTCGCATCGTTTCGAATAAGTGACTGATAACCGTGGGAATTGGTCTTTTTGAGTAAATGTACTGTACTAAAAGCGTTATTGAACAAAAAACATTAGCCACAAAAAATTTCATAAAAGTATTCAATAATTCAATGCATAATTTCAACAAAAATATCATACAAACGTAAACAATTCGATGAATCAGTTGCGGTCGTCGTCCGCTCGTTTCGCGGTTGCATTGCAGCGTTGCCAAACGTTTGAGAAAATTTAATTATTTACGACGCACTTTCCTGGAATGATTTTCGGACATGAGTTATAATGAACTTTTTTGCTTAGAATGATACAAGGAATCACCTCATGAAGTTACGAATATTATTTCCCTTTATAAAATTGTGACAGGCCGTACAACCCTCTCCCCCGTGTCACAAAATACATTCTCAGTTTAAGTCTACTCTGTCGTAAGAGTGATTCCAATTTGAAATCTCTGGCAGGTGACTCAAAACTAGAAGTATCCTTTAACTCCCCTGATACGGCACTGTCACCAAATTCGTTCTTCAATGACATCTACTGTCTAAAGACTACCTCCATGCCATATTACCTTCAGTAGAAAAATCAAGTACATCCGTACAAACTTGTAAATGCCTATGGCCCTCCTAGACCCGTTCTGTTCATAAGCTACATTTGTGCTAAATTCGATGTTCATAGGTATAGCGGTTTTCGAGATTCCGAGACTTACTCTTTTGTATATGTCTGTCGATAGCCCCTTCCCCTTAATTCAGCCTTGTCGGAAAATCCAGTCTGGGCTGACACGTCCCCTTCATAAAGTACCTCCCTGCTAAATTAGTGTTCATAGGTTAACTAATTTCTGGAGTAATTTGGTATAAACTAGACTTCGAAAGTTAAAAGGTTCGGCATAGAAATATTCAACCTCTTTCTAACCCATCTTAACGATATAATTTTTGCAATTATTTGTTAGTCTTTTTTTATTTCTAGAATTAAACATATGCCTACTTCTATGCTGGTCTAATTTGAAGCATTCTATGTTTGTGTGATTTTCCAAAACTTCTTTGTAAGAGCTCATTTACATTATATAAAAGCTTCAAAAATAAAGAACCCATATGTGTATCCCTAACTTAGTTATTTCATAGTAACTTTTATTTAATATTTCAACCCGTTCAAGTCTTATTTTCGCAACAGAAGGTATCATTGTCCCTCTCCAAGGTCTAATCTATACTAAGTGACATATAAATCCGAACACCCAGTTTAAATGGTTTTATTTTAATAAAATTTTGTATAAGTACTTAATGAAGCATAATAAGTAAATGATCAAAATTTCAAAATGATTGCACTGCTTTAAAGCCCTTTGACCTTTAATAATGTGTGGATGCACCCTGATGTGCTACGCATTCTCCAACGCGCCTAGGCATGCTTCTGATTAGGTGGTCAATGTCCTCCTGTGGTATCTCATTCCAGGCAACCACCAACTCGTCTCGAAGTGCTTCTAGAGTCTGAGGAGAACGTTGCAAATTGAGCAATCTCCTACCCATCATATCCCACACGTGCTCAATTGGGGATAAGTCGGGAGATCTTGGTGGCCATGGTAACAATGTGACATCATTATGTTGAAAGAAGTCTATTGTGACTCTTGCATCATGTGGTCGGGCATTATCTTGTTGGAGAGTTGGATCTGCCAGGGCGTCAAGATAGGGTAAAAGATGGGCTTCTAGAACTCCGTGGATGTAACGCTGTGCGTTCATGTTACCTCTGATGAAGATTAAAGGTGACCTGGAACCACAAGCTATAGCACCCCAAACCATAACTCCAACAGTGTGATGAACATGTCTTTCAACAAAAAACTGTGGATTCCTCCTTTCACCACGCCGCCTTCTAACCCTGGCACGACCATCGTGCATGCCTAACCAAAATCGAGACTCGTCACTAAAGACAATAGTGTTCCATTCCTGATCCCACAGTGACCGTTGTCTGAACCACTCAAGGCGATTACGTCGGTGTTCTCGAGTTAAATGGAGGACTCAGTGTGGCCGGTATGAAAACAAGCCAAAACTTCTCATTCGTCGGTAAACACTTCGCATGCTAATAGGTCTTCCGTGTTCTGCACACCATTCATTTGCAATGGACCTGGTAGTGGAGAAACGGTCCCTTAAGCTGCCTGACAACACCTAACCACAGTGTCTACACTTCTTTGCACTCTAACTGCGATTGCCCGAAAAGAAGGTCCAGCTTCCCGAAGTCCCACTATACGGCCCCTATCAAACTCACTAAGTTGACGAAATCGTACAGGTCTTCGTACTCTAGGCATCGTAACCGATCGTAAGGAATGTCAAGAACCAAAATCCGCCAACGTTGATTCTTTACTGCGGCTGAAATATTCATTTTTAGAACGTTAGTGAATTAAAAAAAAAGCAGTATAAAAACCGGAATGT